GGGTCCGGGCTGGGGATTCGAACCCGCCACCCTAGGTGTACGTGGCTGGCGCCCCAGCAGGTTGAGCTATAGGCGCCGAGCCGCTGTATCCACTTTAAAAAGCGCCCCTTTTGTGAAGCCCCCTGCAGAGACGGGTAAGTAAAACAGATGGTATGTTTAATTTTGACACGTAACATAACGTCTCCAAAAATAGTGCACAAAGAAACGGAATATGTGAAAGGATTTTAAATGTTGTCATGGCTCTTCCATGACAAGGCTTTGGGACCAGCTGTGAGCATCTCCACCAAAGGCAGACGTACAACAGGACGGGGCAGGGCTGGGGATGCCTCGGCCACAGGCAGCCCCAGGTGCTGAGCCCACACCAGACTGGACCCTGGGCAAGCCACTGGACTCTGGAGAGGGTCACAGTGCCACATGCCCTGCAGCCTACTAGCTTCATCACTCTCATTTTCTGAGCACTTAAGGTCCATGTGAGAACTTTATAACAACAGGTTTACATCACATGCATATCAATTTTTCATAATCACAACTGAATGTATAAAGATACATCTTTTAAAACCTACTGGAAATAGTCTCTTCTTTTTTTTTTCAGTTTCTGGTGGGGGCCGGGTTTGAACCCGCCAATTCCAGTATATGGGGTAGGCACCCTACATAGGTGCCACGTAATAGTCTCTTCTAAAAAATTTCTGTGAAAGTTTAGTTTATGGCAACTTTCCCTTTCAAAAAACAAATGCTTATAGGAGTACTCATTTTATCATTTTATTTCATTTCAGATGGAGTCTGACTGCATTGCCCAAGGCCACAGTGCTATGGCCTCAGCTTCGCTCACAGTAACTTCAAATTCCTGGGTTCAAGCGATCCTCCTACCTCAGCCTCTCAAGTAGCTGCAACTGTGTGTGCCTACCACACCTGGCTAATTTTTCTATTTTTAGTAGAGATGGGGTCTCACTCTCGCTTAGGCTGGTCTCCAACTCCTGAGCCCAAGTGATCCTCCTGCCTCAGCATCCCAGACTGCTGGGGTTACAGGCGTGAGCCGCTGCACCCAGCCACAGTCAGTATTGTATTGATTCCAAACTTCTGACGCCATGTCTAAATGAGTTTGCTACTTTGGTTGATGTAAATATGACACCTGGGGAGGTTTAAAATACTAGGATTTCCACACCACCAGCTGCTTGTCCATCTTTCTGGAGACAGAACATAGTACGAGGGGACCTGCCCACATGCACAGGGAGACCCCATCGGGGGACAGGTCTAGAAGAAACATTTCCTCCTGGTGTCCCCAGCTCCCAGCCAGGCAACTCCAGACCCAGATGGGAAATGGGGTCACCGGAGCAATGTCATTGCAAGAGCCCTCTCAAAACAAAAATTGACAACAGCAAACATTGCTCCCCCATTGTAAGGGTAATTTTCTTCCACATTTAACTGATGATAGTCTACCATTAGGTGGAAACTTCTGGTTTTAAATCCAATAGTTATTTACATGATCCTGACTGACTTATCTTTGAACTCTAGTGTTTATAATTCGAGACCCAGTTATCCACCCACTCCCTGCCCCTTCATCAACATAAATCATGAGTTTTCTTGTTCATCACTCATGTCTTCTCTGAATACGCTCAGGACATTGCTAATGCCCATTTCAGAGACGTGGCAGGGTTCCCCGTGGGACTGTGAGGCTTGTGTGACACTTCAGTGTTGGCTTCCCCAGGCAGATGTGTGGTTCCAGCCTGGTTCTCAAACCTCCTCATTCCGATTCCCTCCCAGCACCTTCGTCTCTCCTTCACAGCCCTGCTGCCGAGGTTCACGCTGCATGTGTGGTCATCCGAGAGGCACCTGTCTGCCCAGGAGGGCGGGGACGGGTCTGTGCTTGTTCACACAGCAGCCCCCTGCCCAGAACATGGTAAGTGCTCAGTAAACCTGGGCTGAATGTGAACCATGACTTCCTGAGGGAGAGGGCCCTGTTTGTGTTGGAGAGGAAGGAGGTGTGAGTCCTCTTCAGGATGGGGAGAACAGGAGCGAGGTGGACAGCACTACACATCCCTGTCTTCACTCACACTGGGCCTGGACGCACAGTCCTGAAGTGTCAGGCCAAGGAGTGTTTCCTAGGAGCCACCAGGCTGACAACAATTGTGTCATCCCTGGATAACCCCAGCCTAGGACAAACAAATCAACCATGCCTCTTTGCTTGTTTGTTTTTTAAGAGTGTCATAACCCTTTATTCCAGAGTCTCTGATAGTTTATGTGCCTGGCTAGATGTCTCCAGCTGTGACATTGAACCTGGGTTGTGTAACTCTCTTCCCTCTGAGGAAGGACAGACCGAGGGTTCATTCCCCTTTGCCATGAAAACTGCCCTGGACACTGCCCGAAACCTATTGCTCCTCCCTCCTGGGTGGAAGGAGTATAAGAAGTACCGAGCCAGACTGTAAAAAGGAAAGTGATGTGACAAGGAGCGGTCGAACATCTTACTACTCTGACTCGGTCAGTTCTAAGGAGACTTTCAATCAGGAGCAGTAAGCGCCTGGAGTTCGTGTGGTTGGTTTTAGCCACACACCTGACTCGGTTCCT